TTAACGTCGATTATACATACCTCTGTTTACAGAAACTTTTCTTACCTTACTTAGTGTCATTTCTACGCTTAAGTACCTTCGCAAATACAAAAATACATAACTAATGGATTGCCGGTAAAAACTGGCTGCAGATGTGATCGAGAAGAGTTCATTCCCTGACGCATGTTATGGTAAAAAGCCAAAGCGAACGAGAGCCAGCCTCTTGCCTGTTCGGCTTCATGAAGGGAACAGAAGAGAACGCAAATGGGCGGAGTGATAAATGAGTGACAGCGACTGCTCAAGTGTTTAATAACAGCTTTATCAACATGATTTTTTGTTGCACCGATATGTCGTCTAAACTCTTACCAGATTAACGAATGGGTTTGCCGCAATTTGTTATCTGACCCTCGAACAACTTTTTGTCGTTGGCAGATTCGAGAAAACATGCAAATTCACTTGAGTCTAATGGCTGCTTTTCCAAACATTGCAGAATTATTAATTTCGTGGCTTCGAAAAGCACGAGATCTGACTGTTTTTCAGGATGCTGCGAACCAGACAAGCGTCGATTATCCGGTTTGTGTTTCATCCCGTGCCAATGAACAGAGCTGCGGGCCATTTGACACGTTCCGCGGTTGTGAGCCATAAACAAAATGGTGGGTTATTATCAGGGCGCGAGTGGGGTCAGGTTTGGCAAAATTATCAGCTATGAAATGTCCACATATAACCCTATGATGATCCCATGATTAGAAGCGAATGACTAGCCAATAACAAGGCCACAAACGACCAACCTCATGAAACTTCATAGGAAATAGTCCAAAAAGACATTCAGTCCCAAAAACCGTTCGTCGGTAAGGTAGAGGCTTTCTGTTTTGAATTTCGCCGGTACATGGTTCCATATTCCATGATACCAGTTCTTGCTAAAAGTTCTTCTTCAAAAATTCAGTCAAATCTACCAAAATTCCATTCCTGATCAGAAAGTATATGACATAATGACTAAAGAATAGATGCAACAGGCAGTGAGAATGCGCTCGTCCCGTTTTCAGCAAGATTATTCGTCCGTAATGAGACTCACCAGTATCGCATGAGAACTTCCGACAGTACCCCTTGTTTTTACACATCATTTTCCGCCGCAGAGTCAACCGACCGGTTTGCTTTTCATTTCAGGTTTCAGAGGACGCCACAGAACCCTTGCCTAATTAAACCATATACCGCTACTCCCATTATGATGCGGGATCCCTTTCTTTTCATTGTT